TGCCAGAGCGCGGGTCAGCTTTGGCCCCTTCCAGTCGAGATGGACAGGCCTTTGCCCCGACAGCCTGCGGTCTATGGAGACACAGAGCTGCCCAAGGAAGACCACCTGGAGCAGCGGGGACCCAGGTTATCTGCCCTGTCCCCTCTCCAGCGTCACTCCAGCCTGTAGGGCCTTTGGTGGAGAGGGCTTGGGTGATGGGAACGAGCGGTGCGGCCGCACAGAGGGGCCACCTTTGGGCTCCCGCTGCTGCGAAGGGACCCTGGGGCCGGAGAAGGCTGGAAGAAACGCCTCGCCGCTTGCAGGAGGGGCGTCGCGGCAGAGCCGGACAGAGAGCGTCCGGCGGGAGGAGCCGGCAGCCGAACGCCGCCCCGCTTGAAGCCGGCCATAAGGCCCGCCTGAGACCGGGGCGGGCGCGGCCTCCACCGTGGAAGGTGCCGGCGAGGCGCCAGGGGGCGCTGCAGTGCGGCGGCGACGGGGGCTGCCCCGGGGTCTGTCCCGGGCGGGCCGGGCGCGTGGGGCTTCCGCCCCGCAGCCCCACCGCCGTTCCCCGGTGCGGTGGCCGGTGCGGTCTCTCAGGGCCAGCAGCCAGCGGGAGGCCCGCCGGGGCCTCGCAGTCAGCGGGCCGCCGGTGGGGTGCTGCGGGGGGTGGAGGCTTCCACCCACGGGGCCGTCAGACCCCCTCTGTGGAAAAGGAGCTCCGGGGAAAACCTTGGTACCGCAGCACCGGGAGCTTGTGCGGGAGGGAGCTGCGGTTCTCGGGAAGTCCTCGGGCTCAGGAGGAGGAGAGGCTATGGCCCTGGGTGTCCTGGAGCTGGGCGAGGAGCGAGCTCCCAGGGCTCAGGCCGGGTTTTACATCTGTGGGAGCTGCTGGTTGCCTCTGAGATATCTGCACCGAGGACTTCAGGCACAGAAAGTACTGTTCTTAGAAAAGACACATGTACCGGCCATGCTGTAATTTTAAGCACAAGAGCCGTGGAAGGAAAGCACAGCCTTTATGTGAACATGAACTGACTCAGGCTTGATTCTGCAGGTCCAAAAAAATGTCTGTCCCGAGGCGTTGGCAGCCTGGGCTGTCCCCAGGGCATAGCGCTGGCCTACCCTGAGCTGGGGTGAAACTGGGGCTTTCTCAGAGTGTTTCCAACCTGTGGTCCCTGGCTGATAAGCGACCTGGAAGATCTGTAATGGTAGAGGAAGGGGAAATCCTGTGAACTGAGCCCCACCTATAAGCAGAAAAATGCAGAGAGTGAACTTCAGTGTCCTTGGATTTTTGCATCCCACATAAATTAGTGATGAATCATAACACAGCAACGGTTTCCAACCCCCATGACTGCCCCTCTTCCCTTGCTTATCTGCTGGCTGCTGCCTCGCTTCGTGCTAAGCAGGTCACCAGACCATAATAGTTCAGTGGTTCTTGCACCGACAACTTGAAAGTATGGGCTGGGGAAGGAAAAAAAGAACAGTGCTACTAATTATTAAAAGTGTGGGGTAACTCTGCTGCTCTAAAAAGAAGAAAATTCATACCGTGAACGTTAGTCGCTGCTAACGGGAAGCATCACGTATAAATAACATTCCCATCTGGTTAAATATTTTCCACTGAAAGGTAATTCCCGACTACATGCTTTTTCCTGAAGCAGGCGTTGTCTTCTGCTTTGGCCTGATGCTTTGCTGCGGAGGCATGCGGTCTGTCGATAGTACAGAGTAAGGCACGTTAGGCATTTTACACCATATTCTTATCTTAATTGATATTCATAACCCTCCAACTCTTTTATGGGGAGTGGAGGAGAAGGCAGAGCTATGAATTAAAAGCAACTGTGTATGTCAGGAATACAAAGAATGTTGATTTCTAATACTTTCACCTTACAAGGTATAATATAAGCTAAGCTGGGAGAAATGCTAGTTGCTTCATCTCCTGAGGCACTTGACTCACCTTCATGCTATCAGAGGGCAGATTTTCAGTTGAATTGAAGTGGAACTAGCAATAATAATAATTCTGACTTCTGTATTGTTTCAGTAAGTGGTGCTAAGGACTTGTTCCTCAGTTCCCTCTCCTGTACTTTCAGGGTGAGTTAGATGGATCTGACATTCACAGCTTGTTAATCACCAGAACCCCAGGTAAAAATAACTGGATACTTTAAGTGCTGTGAAATTTTCTACTGACGCTTAATAACACCCTGGATGTTTTTCTTTGCTTTTGTACCGTGTGTGCATTGTGGTAAGTTTCATCATTGCAGTATAGACGTGTCTTCAGCCACATTGAGATGGTGCAGGAAATGGGGTGGATCTTTCAGGCTGCAACAATGGCTCTGAAAGTTTTTGTTACATCTGGCAATTTCATTCCAACCCATTTTATTCAGTTTATTGTGAGTGGGGAAAAATACAGTCCTTGAAAGTGCAGTGTTTCAAGCTATACAAAAAGGAACTGTGCTGTAAAGAATGTTAGGGACTTCAGTGTATCATACCACTCTTTTGCAGGGAAGGACAAATGACATGTAAATTTTATATGTTTACTCTTAGATTCTGTCCTGTGTTGACATCAGGGACACAGTTGCAATCACTTGATATTTTCGCTTTGAGTTGCTGTTCTCATAGCAGGAAGAAAGATGGTTTTGGAAACGGTGTATTCCGGGTGGTAGGATTGTTGTAGATTGAAGGACTACCATGGTGAAGAAGAGGAAGGTTGTCTTCAAGTTTTGGGTTTTTTTTTTTAATTTACATATCCATTTTGACACCAAAATCAGTAATTGCATAGTCTGATTTCTGCCATGTGTATTCAGGGTACTCCTGTCTCTAACTAAAACAAAGCTAAGATAACATAGGTAGGCTCTGTGGCTTGCCTTCTGGGGAGCAGCTAGGAAATCTCAATCTTTACTATTACTTGGTGTTACAGGGCATTGGTTGCCAGGTAATATTTTCATTGTTATAGATGTGATAAGCCTCTGCCAGAATTTGGCTGGTATGCAGCTGCATGGATCCAGTTCAAATTGAGGGGGATTACTAGTTAAATGCTGGTTGGAGTTCTCACCTGGAAATTTGGGAAAATTAAACCAAACTACCTGGTGCCTGACATGTTAATTTTCCTAACTTGCAAACACAAATCAATTGGTTTAACAAGCAATACTTTATTAAAGGGAATTAAATTCCCCTAGCTGGTACTGCTTTCATCTGCCTACGTGATCCCGGAAAAGCAGATGCTTGGCTTTCGTTTTCCCATGGATGTAGTGTTTTTGCATGCCTGAAGGCCACAGAGTATCCATAAATGCTGATTGTCATCCAGTGGGAGATCCTGCCACTTCAGGTGTTCACCAGTACGGACAAGGGCTGCCTGATCAGAGCCCTGCGTTGTCTGAGTTGAGGAAATTCATGATTTCACGACCTTTTTTTGGGTGTGTACTAGGGACCACTTTCATACCGCACAGCTTCATCGTCCTGGGGGAGAGCGTCTGTCGTTCCCTGCAGTGCTCAGCCCAAACCACGACATTGTAACTGTAAAGCGCTGGAAAATGCTGCAGGCCTTGCCCGTGCATTGTTCATTGCATTCCTTGCATTGACACTGCATGACATAAATTCGTTCCTGGGTATGCAAACTGCTGTAGCTGTACTTGTTCTAGTTCTAGGGAATGCATACATTGGAGGGAAAGATTTACACGTCAGGCATGTCTTTGAATCACAGAGCACTCCCGTATTAGTAGTTCTGTGTTTTAATATTGCTGTGACAGCTTGCTGAAAAACAGATGTATATACATCCTCACAAACACTGATACATGAAAATTTCCCTCTAAGCTCAGGGAAGAGGCTAATTTATTTTTGCTGTAGGTTCATGCCTTTCAGCATCATGAGCGGCAGCGCTAGCCACAGCTGATGTCGCAGAGTCCATGGCTAACAAGCAGCAAAGAAAATCAGTGTTTTCACAGCCTTGTAATGCCCTATTTATTTATGTAATAGATTGAATGTCGTGTACAGTTGGAAACTGCACTTAGCTTTTCTCAGCTCCCTTGATCTGTCTTGCAGCTGCAGTGTATGGTTCTCTCAGCGGCTGTTGCTGCCTCTCTAATCTGCGCTTTGATTTTGTAGGCATTTCTTATCTACTGGTTGTGGTCTGTTTGACACGTCCAGCTATGAAAGGAAAAACAGACTATTGAGAACTCGTGTGATAATGCTTCTGCCCTAGTATAAAGGAACTTTATGCTCCTTGGAAACTTGCCATTTGCGTGCAAAACTGCGTGTCTTAGAAAACTCTTAAAAGCACAGAGTTATTAAATGTCAGTGTTACCTTAATGTATTTTGCACTTGATTTTCAATGGGTATGAGCTGATGGATCTCTGTTGGTATCGATGGAGCTGTGTGCTGTCGGAAAAAACCTCAGAACTGTGTAGTTCCTGGAGCTTTGCAATGACCTGGTTTTACGAAACCTGCTCACGATGATTAATATTTTTGCCTGTATGATCGTGAGGGCTGATTCCCTGGTGCCCTAAGGCTCAGGCTGACTCTGGAGACAAAACCCTGGAGTCTGAAGCTGCACTGAACAATGTGGGATCCAGATGTCTGAGCACAGCCAGCGACTCACCGCACTGCCCAGGGTGCTGCTACCTGCCCGCAAGCAGAATGCAGGCTGCCCGTGCTGCTGGGTCGGGGTGGGTTACAGGGTGTGCTGTGCCGTGGGTAGGCTAAAGTTTGCAGCACTGCAGCCCTTGGGGCTGTTCATCCTGAGCACCAACGCTGGCCGTGGGACGTGGCCCTGGCACTGGAGCCACGTGTAGCTGCGTGGGAAGCTTGTCTGTCATGAGGCACAGTCTCCTTCTCTGCAGCCCTCCATCTTCAGCACAGACTCTGCTTTATCTAGGCTCCTGCAGCTTTTTAGTATATAAGTTTTTTGCGGTTTATTATAGTTACTTTGATGTTCATAAGCAGGCTTAAAATTTGGCTTCTTTGGTTTGCTTCTAGGTCCATTCAGGAAGCCAACTACCAAAGCCTGCTCTGCTCTACCATTTTGTCTTCTGATCTAAAAAGCTGGTGCAACAGCAAACAGACTGCTTCTGCTCTGCCTCCTGCTTTCCTGTGGTCTCAATGACAGAAACCTGCTCCTTCAGTGGCATCAGGCTACGGGTAAGTGTTTTGCTGGAGCTGTGATATACATAACCAGCTGTTCATCTTCTCTAAGTAGGGAAGAAAATCACCCAGAGGAGCAATGGCTCTCCCTGAGGCAGTAGCTGACGTGGATTTATGAGGCTGTAGCAGACATAATCAACCTATTTAGTTTTCCCAAAGCAGGAAGCAAAGCTCTCCTGTGGGAACAGGCCTTCTTTACCCTTAAGCAAAATAAATCTTGCTTCCTGGGTGATTCTACTAGACGGGAGCCAAAAGCTGGGTGCTGTGCTGCTTTGGCTGCGGGAAGCTTATTTACCTACTTGTGGAACAAGATCTCCTGAGGATGCTCAGGGCTTTATTTCACCTGGCAGGTATCACAGTCTATCCTAAACCTTTGGAAATAGGTTTCTAATGGATACTTGCCCGCCTGAGGAAAAGACAGTACTCATCCTTTCTTTCTCACTACCTCAGGCTCCAAGCCAGCACTAGTTTTTCTGAAATAGGGCACTGCTTTTCCCTGAGAGGTGACCCTCATCAGCAATGACTCGTTTCGGCAATGCTCCCTGTGTAGATGGTAGTGTTTGGGTACAACCAAAGCTGTTGAACCTGGGGACTTGTTAGAGAGCACGCTAAATCTATGGCAAATAGTGCACAAGCGAGCTGTGCTATTCCCAATTCTGGGGTTTTCTCGTTTGAACTGTTTGGAGAGCAGGGCAGGCTGAGCAATGAGGGCTGGGGGTGAGCCAGGGTGCAGGAAAGCGTGTGTGCGTGCAGAGCAGTGGCCCTCGAGAGGGAAATCTCCACCTCTCACGAAACTTAGGAACACGGCAACTATTCTGAGAGCAAAGCTGTCTGTGCCTCTGATTGTTTGGATGCTCACTTATCGCTGTGAGGCAAGTGCCTGGATGCAATCCTCTCGAGGGGAAACCTGTTGTTGTTTCCACTATTTACTCTCTATTGTGGTAGTATCTGAGAGCCACAGTCATGGTTCAGAGCCCCCTTGTGCAGGGAATTGATTATGAGACATTATTTACTAAATGAGTGACAGATCTGTTGGTATTTATGGCCTATGTGAGCAATATAGCTCCTTTCAGCATTTTACTTCAGGATGTGAGCAGCGGAAGCCTGAGTCCTGGGAAGAGGAGCTTCTAAGTCGAGCTCCAAAAAGGTTCCTGCATTCAGGTGGCACATTTCAGTGGCAAATTCTGGCATTTTTAGCCTGTGCTTATGGTTTCAGAAAATGTTGAGGTAGAACACAGGTTTGAGGAGATGTGTAAGTCATCTTTGAGGGGTGAAATGTTTGCTCTATGTTGGAAGATCTAGCAAGAGTGTGTTTAAACATTTGCGTGGTGCACGCTAAGGAAGTTGGTAAATGCCTGTGGAAACTTTCATTGTTTTCTGTTAAGCGTGACCTTTTCTTACCCCTCTTTTTCTATTCTGTTTTGTTGGTTGATTTTGTGGTTGTTGGGGGGCTTTTGGGTTTGTTGTTTTTGTTTTGTTTTTTTTTTAATTCAGGAGCAGCTCCTTGGGAGTTACTGTAGATCTACTTCAAAATCTCTTTGTAAAGCACTGCAATTTTTTGCTTGTCTAATTCACGCTGAGAAGCAACATAGTCTGCAGGAAGCACCATTAATTTCAAGGAACCATTCAGCTTTATTAAGGCTGATTAGTTGAGAGTATTAGGTGAGAGATTTTGCAATATTGAAAGTGTCAAGCTATTACCAAATTTTACATTGATTTTTACCGATTGTCAGATTTTTTGACAAGTGTTTTAATTGTTGACTGGAAAAGGAAATGAGTATTCATGTTCCTTCTTTTGCTGCCTCTCTATTTTAGAGAGAGGAGTAATTCATTGTCTCACGGACAGAAAACAATTAAAGTGTTGTTTCTTTCATCACTGCATGATAATCGAGTAAAAAAATGGTGTTTCCGACCTGAAGTTCTTACCAGAGTTCTCGGGAGGGAGAGGAGTACTGCGTGCGGCTGAGCTGGCATAAGAAATGCCTCATTTGTCATGTGCTAGGGGGTGATTGAAATCTCCCTGTAAGCTACTCTATTAGATATGCTTATACACTACTGAAAAAAATGCAGGCTGTAGAAAATACCACTGCAAGCAGAGCCTGAATATAGTAATACTTGTAGGCAGCACTCTACTTATCTGGCTGAGAGCCACCTTTTTTATGATACAGGCGTCAGTGTTTGTTTAATGTGTCCCTTATCAAATCCAAAAGCTAATATTTGAATTAGTCCTCCATGAAGATAAACAGGAACTGTTTGAGTGAGAATTAAGATATTGTGTGTCGTACTCCTCAGAACAGTATCTGGGTGCTTTACCTTGAATCCAGAGAAATGTCTTGCAGATGTGTATTCAATCTGTGTTTAGATAAACTAGCTTTTAAAATAACTTTATCTCGTGGAAGTATATGGGGAAGTTATAGCAAAGAGGAGGATCTTGATTTTAATCAAATGCAAAGCATAATAAAGGTGGTTTGAATCCACCAATTAATTCTCAAGTCAGACTTTTAGTCCTGAAGGTAGTAAAGAGACTATCTGGCTTTGGAAGAAGCTCAAACAGGGCTTCAGTATTCATACAAACAAGAATTCTGCAATCCTAATCTAGCTGTGCAAGGGAGCCTGGTCCACAGTCATATTTTCTGCTACACAGCAACCAATTAATTCTCAAGTCAGACTTTTAGTCCTGAAGGTAGTAAAGAGACTATCTGGCTTTGGAAGAAGCTCAAACAGGGCTTCAGTATTCATACAAACAAGAATTCTGCAATCCTAATCTAGCTGTGCAAGGGAGCCTGGTCCACAGTCATATTTTCTGCTACATATTTTCAGCTGGAGCTTACACAGTTCCGTTGGCTACAGTGCATTCATTCCAAAACTGCATCCGTGTATAAAAGAGTGGAATTAAGCACCCCATACTTATCTCTCACTCAGCATCTTGGTTCAACCCCAGCTGGCACATAGGACCACACAGCTTCTCGCACAGTTCTCCATCTTCCCCTCCAGAAAGGTAGGGAGAAGAGGGAGAAAAGGAGGGGAAAGGAAAGGGAAAAAACCTCATGGGTTGAATTAAAGACAGTTAGTAGAAAAATAACAGAATAGGAAAATCACAATAATTATAATAATAATGGCAAACGAATATACAAGATAAAGTAATACAACACAAATCACTCTCACCACCTGGTGAATTGGTTGCCCATCCCATCCCAAGCAGTGATCATGGATTCCTGCCTCCCAACCCACCTCCATTTCTATACCGAACATGATGTCTATGGTATGGAATATTCTGTTGGCCATTCTGTTGCTCTGTCTATGTGCCTTTTCAGCTTCTATGGGAAGCTGAGTAGTATAAACATCACCTAGCATCAACTAAAACAGTGTGTATTGACATTCCTTTCATACCAAATCTGAAACATACCAGCCATGAGAAAGAAATTAACTCCTGAAACTAGGACAGTCAGTTTAACCACTGATGATTTTGTTTCTGAGAATGGCACCTTTGAGTACCTTACATACAAACTCAGTTTTGAAGGCAAGCAGCAACATAAGGACTCTTACTATATGGTCAGCATAAATGTAAATGGATGGATGGTGTAACAAATGATTCCAGGATGCCACTGCTGATGTCAGGACTTCACCTTCCCCATTATTGCCACCACCAAAAAAACCCCCTGTAGTTAGGTTGTTGCAGAGTTTAACATGGGTTAGTAGAAGCCCATTGAAAACAATCTGATAATGCAAATCAGGGTGGTAATGGTAGTGAAATATGGATGGAAAACAAGCAAGAAACTTGGAAGGCTGCAGCCACAGCAACGCAGCTTGGGAAAGGAATAACAACAACAAATGATCGCTGTACTAAATCCAGTTAAGAATGAAACTATAAAATATATTAAATGTAGTAGGCTTTTTCTCACCAGGCAGTAGTCATGTAGCATTCAAAGCCGTACATGAAAATCTGAAAATATCATATAAAGAGGACTATTGTGAAAAAATATTTCTAGTAGTCAGGAAAAACGCACCATTTCTTACTAAGGGCAAGCTTCAACTATTGATATAAGAACAATGGCATCTGTTAATGCTGGTAATCATGAACATTTGATGTCTTCAGGTTCTTACCAGGCTTACCACATGCTTTGTCAAGTTAAATGCTGGGAGGAAGCAATGTAGCTGGAACTTGCTGGAATGCCTTAGGTGGAGAAGAGGAAACCCTGTTTCCTGACATATTTTTTTCAGCTAATGCTTTTTTGTAGTACTTGACCAGCTGCATTGCTGAGTGAAAATTATATTTGGAGAAAAATGGCACAACTCACTGAATAATATATAATCTTAAAGAATAAAATGTCTCCATAGCAGTGGGGCTGTGGAAGTAGACTACAGCCTCATCCTTACCTACACGAAGTAATTATTCTGTGTAAGCTTCTTGAATTTTCTGGATCTCGGGAATGCCAGAAAAGCTCCTTGCCACTTCTCCCCCCTCAAGTCCCAGTGGTCATCTGGACGGCAGAGCCATGGCAGCAGAACTGCTGCTGGTGACAAATCTGAGCTTTGCCCAGGGCCCCGGTGGCTGGGCCCCTGTATCATGGAAAAGCCAGCACGTGCCTTGCTGCTGAGTCCACAGGCAGTATTTCATGCCACTTTCCCCAGAGGGTTTAGACCAGAAGAAAGCCATTGAAGCTGATCCCTTCTTTACTCTCATTTTGAAGTCTTGTACAAAGAAAAGGAGAGCAGGCACCAAGCTCTGTATTGTAGTGTGATGATTAAGATTTATAGAGCCAAAAATAGCCCTCCAGATTGCTCCAGTAGGGTGGCATGAAAGAGGAATTTTGGCCACGCTTTCTGCTATAACAAGCAAATCAGATGAGTTCTGAGTAGGCAGTTTTTTCTCCAACTTCAGTACTTACTACAGGTAAAACATTTACCAGATGTATTATTTTTTTATTTAAATTACAGTCTGAAGATCTACATTGTTCTATTTCTTGGGGTAGGTTAGGCACTAACAGGGCAACAGT